AAGGTGCCCTTCTTGTTTAGAGATTTCGATGTTTTTTTAAAAAAAATTGGTCAAAAACGTGCCATTGCGTTATGGTATTGCGGGAAAACTTTTCTTAAGCTACTAGTTGTCCAATCGACGTGTGTGGTGTACCGCATTCTGGTTTAGAATACTTTATTGTACATATATCAAGTTTATACTACAATATATATACATGATCACTGTTTAGGGAAATGACATTTATTATGCCGAGAAGGGGTGGGGGGGTGGGTGGAGATGGATATGTCTTGAAAAAAAGCTCATATTTTTACAGGGCCCCTGTTGAGATTATTGGTAAATTTCCGATGCCCCCCTCCAAGTTTCTAAAATTTTCAATGCCCCCCTCCCTCCCTCCAGAATTCGGAATTGAAGCAGTACAATCCGGAATTCTCTCTTAGGCCAATGAAAATTGATATCACGTTTCTCGCCCACAATTTTCAAAAATTTGGAGCGGGATTTTTTCATTTTTCATTATTTTTTGTATTTGAATACTGCTTGTCAATAATTTCCTCGACCCATTAAAAAACCCCATAAAAATCTGAAGTATTAAAAATTGGTGTATAATTCATTTTAATTTAATACATCCTACAGTACTACAGTCTCACGGCTACAGACTACAGTATATTTCTTTACATACCAGGGCTGACATGAAAAATAGAGGCATTCTAGCGAGTAATATCTTTAGAAAGATACAATTTGAGTTGCGCTTGCGGAATGCAGCAATACGACTTTGATCTAGAGATGAATTTGGTGTTTTTAAATAATGAATAATGAAAAACGTTCGTGCGGCAGATAAATCCCATGCGGGCGGGGACGAGAAACATGATATCAATTTTCATTGGCCTTATCGTAGGCATCATATATACAATTTGCAGGTCCTCAAGATGTCTGATATACTCAAGCATGTACTTCTCCTCACTTAAAATACCGACCTACTGCTTCTTTCACCTCACTAGCGCCAGATTAAATGGCACCCTTTAAAAAAAACATTTTAGATTGGTGCCAAAAAAATTTAAGTGAGCTATAGGTGATTTCATGTATCCATTTATAGAAGAGCAGACTAAGGATATCTTGAAACTAAAATCAGTTTCGAATACAACCATCAGGGACCTAGCAAAGCATCTGACGTTTGGGGGGGGGGGGTGTTGGGGGATTATACATGTAATAATAATAATAAAGCTTTTTTGTGATTGATTGGCACTCTCATATTAAGTTTCGGGAGAAAAGGGGGGTCTGGGGGTCCTCCCCCAGAAAATGTTTACATTCTACGACTGAATTTCTGGCGTGTTTTAAAGCAAATTCGCAAACAAATTTTATGCAAATTGACTGTATTTTACAAAAATGGTTATCATTTCACAAAAATAATTACTTTATTACGCAAATTTTACCTGAAAATGTCAAAATTTTAACTTGAATTTTACATATATTTGCCTGAATTTCACAGTAGGGGGAGTTTTCAAACCATCTATTCCATTAACTATGTGGGAGTGAACACTCCAGACCCCTGCTGGACCAAAACTTTGAAAAGTTTAGAGCTCCCCCCCCCCCACCGTCAGTATATCGAGCCCCCCGTTTAATGCCAGATTGCCAGAGAATATTTCGATGCCCCCCTTAACATCTTCACCCCCCTCTCCCACCCCTCAGCATAATAAATGTACTCCCTTATTTATTTATTTATTTATACGCTAATACTCTTGTCCAGACTTTATATTCCTGTTCAAGTTTGAAAATAAAAGTTTGAAAATAAAAGTTTGAAAATAAAAGTTTAAAAATAAAAGTTTGAAAATAAAAGTTTAAAAATAAAAGTTTAAAAATAAAAGTTTGAAAATAAAAGTTTGAAAATAAAAGTTTAAAAATAAAAGTTTGAAAATAAAAGTTTGAAAATAAAAGTTTGAAAATAAAAGTTTGAAAATAAAAGTTTGAAAATAAAAGTTTGAAGTTCGTTCGTAGTCAGGAAAAAAGCCTGCGAATACCGCCTTCTACGCAGGCTGAGCCTGATATTTACATTTCAAAAACGTATTAAATTTGTGAGGAAAACACAAAGAAAAATCATAACATGCTTATCCTATGTCGTTTATACGATGGCCGAGAAGGGCCATGACTGTAAACACTCGCCGTTTTTTTACCATTACACTCGTCGTTTTTTTCTCTTCAAAATTACACTCGCCGTTTTTTTCTTCAGTATTACACGCGACGTTTTTTTCAGTTATGATGCAATAATTACACGCGACGTTTTTTCAATGCAATATTACACGCGACGTTTTTTCAATGCAATAATTACACGCGACGTTTTTTCCCAAAAAATTACACTCGCCGTTTTTAGAGTTACGTTTTAAACTGAGGGTTTCACTTCGGACGAAGATGGGAGCAATCATTTAAGGTTATGTGTGTTTCATCAAAACTAAAACTCATGTAAATACAGTACACATGTGGCCAGACATCAAATTTGCATATCACGCTGAAATATGGCTTCTGCAGTAAACAGTAAATTATTGATTACGCAATGCTGTAAATCCCAAAATCCGAGAATATGGTAGGTCGTTTGTAGCTACAGTCGCTGGCTATAAATCAAGTCTGTACGTCGAAGTAGTTAGCGTAATTTTGCCACTTGGTTTTAGTTAGTGACCATTCTGCATTTTCAGTTTTTGTACGGAGGTTAGTTTCAAATTAGTTTGTACGGCATTTGTCTATTTATATTTTATATATAATGATACCGCACTGTCTATAGCCACCAGAAACAAACGAAAATGCAGAATAGGAAGTAACTTACACCAGGCAAACACTACACGATATACCGTGTTCTGCAACCAGCAATCGAGGCAAACTGCAAACGACTACCAATAATCTCTGATTTTGCGATTTGAAGCATCGCGTAATAGAATCAACTGTTTACTATCGAACCAAATTTCAATGGGTTATGTATTAAATCGGATATGCAAAGTTAGTAAGGTAGAATAATCATGTCCGTGATTTCTGGCCATGAAATTTCACTTTCAGTCGGTTATGAATCAATGATTAATGCATTGTTTTCAAAACACACAAAGCTTTTGTTTATATAGTTTGGAAAACACAAAAGAAAACAATGCATTACAGTATATATTCATATAAATTAACTGACTGAAATAGTGAAAAGTGAAATTTTGTACCCATGTATTTACATGATTTTTAGTTTTGATGAAACACACATAACCTTAAATGATTGCTCCCATCTTCGTCCGAAGTGAAACCCTCAGTTTAAAACGTAACTCTAAAAAAACGGCGAGTGTAATTTTTGGGAAAAACGTCGCGTGTAATTATTGCATTGAAAAAACGTCGCGTGTAATTATTGCATTGAAAAAACGTCGCGTGTAATATTGCATTGAAAAAACGTCGCGTGTAATTATTGCATCATAACTGAAAAAAACGTCGCGTGTAATTCTGAAGAAAAAAACGGCGAGTGTAATTGTGAAGGGAAAAAAACGACGAGTGTAATGGTAAAAAAAACCGGCGAGTGTTTACAGTCGTGGCCCTTCTCGGCCATCGTAAATGTCATATGCAAATTTCATGCCTTCATATTAAGTATGTCAATTTGGACAAACAATAGCAGTAATTATTATAATTTATGTAACAAATTTACAAAACTTGCAATTTTGCCGAAGACACAGAAGAGAAATAGGGCCGAAGATGAACATACTGTCTAGACAAATTTGATGATTTTTAGCTTTGGGAGCAATTATCAAATATCTTAAGGAACAAAGTCGGGATTTACTCTATATTATGAAGTCAAAAGTCCGATTTAAAACTTAATATATGAATAATTGTTTCAATTTGGTATTTGGTGATTGAAATGGCGTCCTCTTTCTTACCAAAAATGTTTACCCGAAGCACAGGAATGAAGATGTTTCGACAGTGCAGAACAACTGCGTCATCATCTGATAAAGTTATAAATGGGCCTCGTCTGGAAAGTAATATATCTCGGTAAGTGTTATTGCTATGTTTATACAAATATGTGATTATTGTTGACGTTTGTACATTTGTGATATGTATATTTATAATTACCATAAGTATTCCTGTGGAGCAGTTGCATCAAACACTGTGTAGCGAGAGCCTTATCACAGATTAAATAATACATATATGAATTTAATCTGTGGCCTTATTTTTTGAGGGGGTGAGGGTGAAGGCGTGAGAGTGGCTAGGGGGGATTTTGAAATCTAGAGTCCCTAAAGCCCCGTTTACACTACGCTCAATTTTTGGTACCGTACCACTTTTTGGTTCTTGGACTACCTAAATAGGTAATCCAAGAACCAAAAAAGTGATACGGGTACCAATTTTATCCGTGCCGTACCAAAAATTGAGCGTAGTGTAAACAGGGCTTAAGATGCGATTTCAAGCAGTTTTGGGGTGAATTTTGCATAATTCCAAAGATTGTAAAGTATGTCAAAGACATGATTTTTTACCAGATAATATTTCTCCTCAGAACTAAATGAATTGGAAAAGTCACCTTGGAAAACTGGAGGAGAGGTCTGTGTCACCTTTCCCTCTGTGGGGAAAAAATCCAAATGTGATTTTGATCGGAAATTTTGCATTTAGGTAATTCTAGGTTCTACGAGATGCCATTTCTCACATTCTCAAAATTGCATTATTTTTCATAATGGATTTAATTTAGATTTTCAACTGTTAAATGGCATGCATGTATGTCATTCGCATATAGCATGAATATTTCTTCTCAAACTTATTCTGTATCTTCTTCTTGCAACCTGCAACCATAATGTATATAAACACTTTAACAAGATTTTACACATCAAGCTCCTTCAGTAAATTGTTATTGTCGGTTGTCCTAGGTTGACACTTAGTCAGTTTTAGCTTTGAGAATGTAACATGTATCCCCCCCCCCCCAATTTCTTTATGGATTTTAAGACTTGAGAGAATGGTTTCTGTAGTGATTTTGCCTCGTTGCATCCAGGGACGCCGGAACGATTATAAGGCAAAGGGGGGCGGACCCACAGCAAGGGCACTTCTCTAAAGCAAAACTTCAAAATCTTCCGAAATTTATTTTTTCAGTGTACCATTTTAGGGGTCAAAAATTTTTTCCGGACATACCATAAGTGAAATATAAACTGTAAATGTCTGAATCTCATAATTTTCGGACAAAAACCATCGTTCTAAATGTGATTTATCACGTAATTTTTTAAAACTAAAAGGGCACCCCTGCCCCCCCCCCTAGCAAAAGGCAGGGGGGGCAGCCGCCCCCCTGCCCCCCCAGTTCCGGCGTCCCTGGTTGCATCCCTTGGCTATGCCAGTGGTTACATCTGTAGGTATCTGTAATCCATTTGGTCCTAATTCTCGCATAAGCAAGTCATGATGATGTGAAAGAGATCAGCATCTTTCTTGAGTGCTGTATGTAAATCATTCTTTTCAATTGAAAATGTAATATCTATATGACAGGCCTTAAAATATCGGTCGGTCACGGACATTGTCCGACCCATTCGTGAAATTGTCCGACGTAGAGAGGAAACTACCGGACATTCTGTCCGACCTAAGTGAAACTGAGGTTTATTGTTTGTCCGACCTGAGTGTATTGGTGTCCGACCTAACTGTAGCTTTGTCCAACGTAAATTAAAATGTACCTCAGTCCAGCACTAGAGGCTTGTATGTTAAATAGAGAATCAGAGTACTATTGTATAAAAGGTGAACTGGAAATGTTGTTTTAACATAGTCGAGCGCGGGGTGGCGAGTGAAATGGTGAAGTGGAAACCGGGCTTAAGTTGTCGAAGTCTTTTTTAATACTGCTGTTCTGGAAAGCAAGTTAATTTTGGCTTGGAAATGAGTATGAAAGAAACAAATTATTTAATATTTAGACAACATTTACTGTTCAGAATTAATACATTGTGCTGATATTCATTTGTGTCATTCAGACTTATTTCCGAGTCAAAACTGAACTGAAGGTCATTGGACATATGTCCGACCCAAACTCAACGTCATCGGACATTTTGTCAGACGGCCCTGTAAAAGATATTTTAAGGCCTGTATATGATGTTATTTCTTTGCCACCTTGACATGTTTGAGACTGTTAGGACAAAATGGGAAAAGACTGTGAGGGAAAGACTGACTGTTTAACAAGACTGTTTAACGTTTCAGAACACTGTTCAAAGATTTACCGTTAAAATACCAAAATGTTACTTATTGTTACCATTAAAATACCAAACTTTTTACTGTTTACTGATTTTCAGATCCCCCCAGCTAGACCCTCTTACTAGAATACCAAAATACTAGATAATACCAGTATACCTAAAATTCCAGGTTACATCATTCTGAGTACTTTATAATCTTGGGTAAATGTAGCATACTTTATACCTGTATTTTTAATAAACCTATTGTAACAAAAATTCTTTATACCAAAAATTAAATGGTCTAAAGGTGAAGATCCTATTTCCCAGCCATTTTTTAGACTAAATCCCAGTCCCAACTGTTAACTTGAGAGAAAACCAGTGGGAAAGCTAGCCAAAGCAACAGGTCATGCTATGCAAATTTTTGTATAAAGGTTTTGTAATTTGTAGATGGAAATTTTTAAGGTTAGGTCTAATAAATGTATAAAATTGACACTCGAAACTTCCACCTACAAAACCCTTCTATAACTAGTTATATTGAGTGTAGATCACTGCCCAAGATTCTGATATTTATCCACACACCTCACATATTGGCGTCACCTTAGTACTTAGTATATATATATACACATGAACATGCAGCTCAACAAGTGGACTCTGCAACTAGAATCGCAGGGCTACAAGTTTGATTCCTGCCAGAAGGCCTATAATTGCATTTTTCACAACTGCCCTGGGCGTAAAAAAAATACCTGTGGTTCCGGTTTCATATCGTGAAAAAATTAGGGTCGGTAGGTCAGAAATATTTTTTTTTTTTGAATATTTTTTTTATGATTTTGGCGGTTTTTTGTTGGGTGATTTGCAGTAGAATCCCGACATCAATATTAACTAGAGATGCCTATTTCCTATGGACGAATTTAGGCAATTTGGTTCAATAATTAGTGTGGCAACAGATGCCATTTTGGCACGCTATATGAGCGGCCCGCAACCACCTGGAGAAAATAGGGTCGCACAGTCAATCCCGTTGAAAAAATAATAGGGTCGGCAGAAAAAAAGTAGGGTCGGTCGGGAACCGGAACCACAGGTATTTTTTTACGCCCTGTTAGGTCTAATATTTGTGTAAATTTACACTTGAAATTTCTGTTTACCAGACCCTTCAAGAATTAGTTCTAGCTATCGAGTGAGATGCCCAAAATCCCCATATTTACCTATGTAAATGTTTAATGATTTGTATTATATTCAATATGAACCTTTAGAATTGTATTGTCTTTAATCTAGTTAGATGCAGGTTTAATAATAAAGATACAGGGTAAAATAATAAAATAGGGATGCAATGCAACTTAATAATTGGTTAATGTACAATATAGCTATTGCCTACTCCCTCCAAACAATCACCCCTACTTCTGTCTCTGTGGGTGCTGTGCGCGCGTTGACACTTCAGGGATGGATCCAGCATGACTAGTAGTGGGGTGCTCTGTCAGTCTGCGAGCTCTGGTGCCTGCCCATCAACTTGCTTGACTAATGCAAAATCTTGCTCGACTACTGTATTTGAATTGTAATTGTTGTTCACAGTTCGCTTATCATCATGTTATTAAGTACTCAATTTGAAATTACTGTATCTCATATTGTCTCTTAATATTTTTTGCTTTACCATGAAAAATAGCACCTTCTGGCCCCCCTCTGGCCAGGGCTAGGGGGGGGGGGGGGGGTTGCCTTCCCCTCCAGTAAACCATCCCGGTGACACTTCAGCCAAGATGAAATGAGCTTAGTAATGAGCTTAGCTAATCCAAATAAGGTTGTCCTTTGAAAGTCAAAACTCAAAACCGCAAAACATTGACCTCTAAGCGGGCAAAGTACAATGGACGTGCATGAAATCGAATACGAATGTAAATTTGCAGTTGTGTTTTGCAAAATGCTACGAACGGATAGAAGCCAAGAAAGAGACATAAGTCCGTGTTTCGCGAAATTAAATATAGACCCGGTTTATTAGACGAAGTGAACAAATTAACTTGTTCTCCCAGGGTGCGATAATTCGCGTACTTACGTAGCGGAGGTACGCCAATATCATGGTCTGGTACTTTGTTTTCAGCCACATACCACGTAGGTGCTATCTGAGTACTTACATTTAGCTGGTACCACATGACCTTTCCAAGCCCAAGGTATTCAATACCATCACTTAGTTGGTATATGTGTAAGTCTGGTATGTCTTGGCATGAAACATGATTGGACTGATTGGACCTTTAGCGTATAAGCCTTAATGTGAACGATTGCGCAATTAAAAGAGAGGTTGTTTCCGAGATTGCAAAAGTGTACTACCCATACGCCATGTCCTTCGTCCACGGTGGCGTTAGGCTGCTCGCAGGCCGTTGTCAGGCAGAGGCTGGGAGGAGGAACGGCCTGCGACCTTTATTAGTAAAAAGTCGATTTATGCGTACGGAGCGTACGCAAAATTCCCATTGGTCAAAAGTGCCCCATGAGTTAATATCGTGCAAATATTTAACTCGTACGAGTCACGACATTTCGCAATGTAATTTTAAAGCTGGCATTCAATCAGTGGCGTATAAAACCATGACTTTGTTTATCTCTTCGAAGAAGTAACTGAATGTATTTGAAAAACTTTCAATTTAAATTAACGTTGAAGGATGAGCGAAGGTTAGCAATATTAACTGTACTTCAAACGGGATTTCATAAAAGTTTAATACATATTGTCTTCGTCAGCTATAAACCTTTTCCAAAGAAGTACAAGGGAAAACTTCGACGTATGCCTTGCTGCTCTTTGCCAGGAGAGAGTAAAATAAGTCTAGTTCAGGCTGACAATTTATCTAACCACGTTTGCATCACTTGCAGCAGAAATCTTTGAGACTTTTGTGTGTGCCCTTACCAAACCATGTTTTCAAACGTTGAACAACTTAGCCCAGCGAGACGTTCATTGAGACACAGGCAGTGAATCAGCTAGTATAAAGCAGTTGATTGTCCAATGCTTTCTGCCTCAACAATCTGGTCTTGAATAAGCCAAGACAATGGGCAAATTATTAAAACAGACGCCGTCGAGGAAAGTCGTTCTTAGAACACCTGGCCAATTTGAATCAATTTACACCTGGAAATTCTGCAATAGTCGTTTGCGTGTTCTTTGACCGAAGTCCGCTCTCTCTTTGAGACTTTCTTTTTGGGAGTCTCAACTAATGACATATATTATTACAACAAGAGCTTTTTACAGAAAAAATGTAGTTATTCAGTAAACACGGCAGAATCGATGCCGCGGCCACGGGTTTTCAAATTGTCTGTTGTCTATTGAGTTAATTGTATTATTGAGCAAATGACAGACTTCACGCAATAATGATTAATGTTGTTTTTTAGCCTGCTATTGTTCGACACTTTTAATAAATGGTGTTTGTTCAAAACCTAAATACGTTTCCTTAAATCTTACAGTTATATTTTGGATATAAATGTGTAAAATACATTAACTAATAGAGAATAAAATTTTATATATTTATAGTTACAGTTATATTTAGTATAGTTACATAATTTAAAACGGCAATGTATACGAGCAAAGACAGCAATATACAAACGGGACTATGTTTTAAATATTAGAACACTTTAGGGAAAAAACGACCATGCATTATTTTAGATTAAAGTTTAGACCTTGGAATCCTAGTGTGAAAGATACAGGCGTAAAATTGTGCGAGAAACTGTTTGTTGTTGTTAATAACCTCTGGTAATCTAATTAACAAAATTTACTTTGATTGGCTGCTATTTACCGGATATTCAATTATCTCAAAGGGGGCGTATTGAAAAAATATCAATAAACGTCGCAGGCTCTATATAATAGAGCCTGTGAGCAGGCTACGGTGGCGTTGGAATGACAATGGCGAAAATATGAGCACAACATCGGGACCCTCGACTGCATTCGGCTGGTCAAGGAGATAAGATCGAAGTGCCATGGTTGCAAACGATTCCGGATGAAAGCGTTCCAAACACCACCGCAGGAAGAACTTCAGAGCATGAGATCCCACGGAACTGCGCCCTTCTAAGTGCTAGGAGAAGACTTTGCTGGTCCAATTGAGGCTATTGAGCACTAGGTCAAAGGCAAGAAAGAGAAGAAAGCTTATCACTGTTTACATGTAGCTTATATTTGTTTGCCAAGTTTGTATGTTTTTTACATACTGTACTTGAAAGATTAAACGTATAAAAGCCAGTGATTTGTTGCGAAAACGTTCTTCTTTAATTTAAAAGAATTTCGAATTCCAACATCACAAATCTCTCCCTTGGGCCGAGAGCCTCGTTCTCATGAATCGTGAGCAAACACACTTTTGTCTGATTCAAGAGAGCACGGCTCCCAGATCAAGGAAGTATTTGTGACCCTCAAGTAACTTTCAAGTAATCCCACCCCTCTAACCCCCCATTTTCTAAAGGAATTTTAGAATTTATTAAACCCCCTTTATTAAACAGAGAGACTCTTAGATTTATCAACTGGTCTTGAATTTGAAGTTAATATACTGCATTTCACTGCTAAATTAGTCAGCCTTCTCGACCTCTATTAATTTAAGCCCTCCCGGTGGACAGGAGCAACTTCCCCTTCCTTCCCCTCAAACTAAAACGGACTGATTCGGTTTGTTTGACGTCACAAGTTCGGCTCGTCTAAACAACCGATACCATACATTCTTAAAATTCATGTGCTAATCTTCGCGTATTATCTCTCTGGTTTTTTTTTTTGTAAAAGAAAGAAACATCAGCTAAAAGAGACATCAGCTAAGAAAGAACATGAATTGAACGTAACAGAAAATTCCCCATCTTGGATTAATCAATTAAACGTTCACGGTTACGCGGTTGTGCCGAATGTCCTCGCTCCTCCGCAATGCGACCACATCATCGACAAGGCGTGGGAATGGCTAGCCGAACTGGGGACTGGTATACAGCGAAATGACTCGAGCACGTGGACGAACGACCGCTGGCCAAAACATTTCAACGGCATTATTCAGAGATATCGTATTGGGCATGCGCCGTTTGTATGGCAAGCCCGGACGAACTCAAATGTGATTGGTGTATTCGAGAAAATCTGGGGAACTAACGAACTGTTGACAAGTTTCGATGCTATGGGTATTCTACGACCGGCTGTGATGGTTACTGATTTGGAACACACATCAAGCTGGTTTCATACTGATCAGAGTCCAAAGAAGGAGGGCTTTCATTGCGTACAAGGTGTTCTTAACTTAGAAGAGGTTTGTAGACTAAGCTAGACTATAAGCTAAATTCATTGCTAAAACTTCGAGATACTACTTGACACTCTGTGAGAAAATCCCGAGAAGCTAGGACGACATTGCTGATTACCCACGGCTCACTGGACTCTTTAACTAAAGCGAAAGCTATCAATTTAAATTCTAAATAATTGAATATGAACTATATGGTATAATGTCTTCAAAGGGACTGCGCATCAACGTCTTTCCCAGGGCCTTTATCCCTTTTTCCCAATGTCAAAAAGAGTAAAAGCCCCTTGGAACAAGGTCGATAGTTTATTATTTTCATACCTCGCGGTGCCAACGAAGATATATTAATAGGCTATGGGTAATTCATTTTTCCATCTAGAATTTAGTAAAGGTTTGCTAAGTAAACAAAACTAGTGTTTTTAATATTTAATTTTTTAATTTCTCTTCAGATTTCAGGGACAAACTGAGGTATAAATACTGTAATGAACGGTTCGTAATTCAGATATTTAGCAAAGACTTGTAAGGCAAACGACTGCAATGCCAAACATCAGGCAAAACTCTGGCAAACATTTATGGCAAAACTAGCAAAACTGGCAAACAGCTATGGCAAAACAGCAAAAGACGTAATAATAAGGCTAATTATAGTAGCAATAGGAGTTTGCCATTACAATTCTGCCAAGGCAGACCTCCGGCACCTGTCACACTGATAATCATTGGGAAAAAAGGACGCATTCTATAGTAGTCTATAGATTGTATCCCATAAACCATGACACACGTGCCAAAACATATAAAATATAGAAAATATAGAAAAAAATGAATAGAACCCGAGTATCAACAAACATTAATCAGGGTGGGGAAAGATCGAAGGGGTAACAGAGCGAAATAGCAGTTGTAAGTTGTTGCTGGCTAGCCAAGTTGTAGCAAAGTGACAGGTACGCAAGAATTGCCACTGTTCTAAGTGACGTCAGGGGCTCCCCGCTGCAAAGGTCGCAGACATGATACATCTGCCGTTAACTTCGCTTAAATCTACGTTTAACCACATTTAACTTTGGTTTCACATTTACGGATTCAAATTTGATCGTGATGGGCAATTGCTAGATAGTATACTTCAAAATAAGATTTCCGTTTTTATTCTATTTTTAAAATAAGATAGGGTTAGGTTAGGGTTTAGGTTAGGGTTAGGTTGGGGTTAGGTTTAGTATTAGGGTTAGGGTTTAGTTTTGCCGTAGGATAGTTTTTTCTACGTTATAAAAACGGAAACCTTATTTTGAAGTATACTATCTAGCAATCACCGATCGTGATGTCGTGATTGCTTTATATGGCTTTGAGTTCCCCAGATTTCCCTAACCGTTCTTTGCTTATAATTCTATAGGCTTCTATTGAAGATGCTGGATTCACTTGTTATCCAGGAAGCCACAAACTGCACACAGAATTGTTCCAACGTAATAATGACTACGACACTACAATGGATTTTAATACTATATCCAAGGAAGACCTACACTGGGTGGAGCGCGATAAAGGTTTGGTACCCACTCGAATCCCGGCTCCTAAAGGCAGCTTTACTATATTTGATAGTAGATTACTTCATTGTACCGTTCCTGCCAAAGTACCCCGTGAGAATCCAAGATGGCGCTATACATTATATATTTGTATGACACCACGGGCGTGGGCTGACAAAAATACACTGCAGGCTCGGGTTGAAGCTTTTAGAAATCAGCGAATGACAACGCATTGGCCACATCACGTGGGTTTATTTCCAGATGATCTGGATTTTCCAATGTTGCCAAAATTCGAGTTAGGTGATGTTGGGGAAAAATTAGTTGGCTTAAAGGATTATAGCGGAAATCAACTGATTTTAGAAGAGGGGATTGTATCTGACAGCGATTTTACACCGCATGAACGACCGGCTCTTTAACAATGTAGTCATTAATAACTTTTTATACTAGGTTGACAGATATTCTAATATGCAGCACTAACTATTAATAACTGTATGTTCTTCACTGAGCGAGAGCTCCGGACTGTAGGATATTAGTCCAGTTCTTTTTTTCGACTACTTAACAATTAGTCACCGAAGGCGTGGTGATTACAAGCCTATATATAAATTCAGTATTGAAAAATAATAATATATACAAACGTTGTAAATATAATTTACTTCACTCTTTCGCTTTTGAGTTAAACGAATCCGGCTGTCGGAACCGTGTCGCCCGATTCTGTTATTTTCCGGGTTAAATTGCCAAATAAATTGTTTTAGGTTAACGCCATTTATTGACTATTGTTGCTTCTCTAGTTTTGCTTTTAGAGGAATAGTATGTGCTTCAATTTTTCTTCGATGATTTGTTTGCATGCAAGTGGATTTTCGGCAGCGATTTTGTTTTGAAAGCAGTAATTACCTACTGCTCAGAGCAATCTGAGCAGTAACTATTGCCTCGGAGTTACTGCTGAGGGAGCCAATCAGAACGCTTGAAAGCCATTTTTCAATACTGAATTTATACTAAACAGTAAGAGTGCAAGACCTCAATGGACCATTATTTGCATTATAGACTAAATTTTGATCTAAACAAGTCTAGACAAAAATTCCATCACGGCTTGAAAGAGCATCACAAAATTAGTAATATTCCAAAGTTTCGTTGCGAAATGTTGTAAAATACGGATAATATAGCCTTGCGAAGTTTGCCGTTTTTCAGTCATTTTGCATTACGCGGGGGAAATTGACAGCCCAATACCCTTTGGGGCTGTCAATTCCCCGTTTGTAATACAAAATGACTGAAAAACGGCAAACTTCGCAAGGCTATATTATCCGCATTTTACAACATTTCGTAACGAAACTGTGGAATATTACTAATTTTGTGATGCTCTTTCAAGCTGTGCAGATAAAATTTTTGTCTAGACTTGTTTCGATCAAAATTTAGCCTATATATGCAAATGGTCCATTTGATATTCGACCAGTAAGTTATTAATATATCGAACTATTAGAAATATGTTTTTGAAAAAAACGTTTTGCCATTAATAGCTAAGTATATACGATACGTCCAATCTTTCCAAATACTGAGGCTATTAGGCTATGTTATGTGGTCTTATAAGCTGAATCATTTTGTGTTCAGTGGTCAGGGCATGTTCTGAAGGACGAGTTTTATTTTCCGATTTCCAGACTAGAAAGAGAAAGTATCTTCCCCAGGCCTTTGGGGAGGTGCTCCTGGGAGTTACCACATGTTACTTGAAATGCAGGAAATAATGTTCTAGATTAGTGACCATTTAAATTATAAAGTCTGTTTGAGACATCGAATTTCCGTCGAATTTATTAATTCGTTAAATTTAATGCTTCTCAATTTAACGCGAGTCATTCTCTGTGAATTATGCCATAAACCTGCTTACGTCGACAACGTCACACTCAATGTACTGTGTAGAATAGAACAAATGCCCATTACTCTCAAATAGAAATTAAACGAGTAAATTCGGCGTCAAAAACAGGCCTTAATCTAAATGTACTGTATATTATATATTGTAAATATATTTATATAAGCTTAATTTAAAATGTAAATGTATAGCCTTGAGCCGACTATTTTGCTGAAAATTCATTAAGCTAGTGCATGTTAAAACGTTTCTGCGGGGTTTATATGACACCTTATTAAATTATAATTTATTTGGCTGATTATGATCACGTGATATTAATAAAAATTCCATATTACTGAGAGTGTTGCACTCCCAGTTTATACACGCCATGTTTATGGTTTTATCCCTTGTAGAACCAAACACTATTTAATTGCTATTTAATTCCTATTTTATTGGGCTATTTAATTCCTATTTGTCAAAGTATTTATTTCCTATTTTTACTATTATTTTTTTTCGAGGTTTTTCCTATTTAAATTGGGGTAGAAAAGCTATTTTTTTCCTATCCAAGTGGAACCATATTTTTTTCCTATTCATGATATATTTCTAAACAAATACTTAATTGATGTACTCGAATAGAAAGTAAATAGGTTTCAAATATGATAAAAATAGAGCTATTTAAGGAAATTATTAAAAATATATAGTTTCGACATAGTTAATAAATATGTATGAAATAGTTAAAACATAGTGACAATATAGGTATAAAATATGTAATAAATAGTTGAAATGAGTTTCAACTAAGTTTAAAAGAGTCAATAAATAGTTGAAAAATAGTGATATTATAGTTTAAAAATAGATAATAAATAGTTCAAAAATAGTGATAATATAGTTTAAAAATAGATAATAAATGGTTCACAAATAGTGATATTATAGTTTAAACATAGATAATAAATAGCTCAAAAATAGTGATAATATAGTTTAAAAATAGATAATAAATAGTTCAAAAATAGTGATAATATAGTTTAAAAATAGATAATACATAGTTCAAAAATAGTGATAATATAGTTTAAAAATAGATAATAAATAGTTCAAAAATAGTGATATTATAGTTTAAACATAGATAATAAATAGCTCAAAAATAGTGATAATATAGTGATAATATAGTTTAAAAATAGATAATAAATAGTTCAAAAATAGTGATAATATAGTTTAAAAATAGATAATACATAGTTCAAAAATAGTGATAATATAGTTTAAAAATAGATAATAAATAGTTAACATACATCCCAGCTTGTTAAAAAATAGATAATAAATAGTGGATATAATATTGCCCAAATAGATTAAAAATAGTTAAAAAATAGTAATAACATATTAAATAAATAGTTAAAATATGTCCTGTTAATACAGTTAAAAAGTTATTAAATATAGTGTATACAAATACATATAGCCTATAAATATTTTTAAATATATTATAAATACCAGTAGTTAAAACAT